AAACCCTTTAAAAGCGAGTCATTTTTGTTAAATGTCTAATATCGTAAAAATACGATATTTTCCAAAAGTGAAGAAAATTTCCCTAAATCGAAAAGTTTGTTTTCGGAAACCAAATGATATCAACTTGAAGCTATTTATTTCGTTTTAAACACATTTTTGAAGATTTTATTTCCATTTTATTAATTTTCGAAATTTACGATATTGTATTTATTGCCACCATTTTGTAAAATATTTAACGTCTAACGTTGCTTAAGTCAGTGTAACTTATTTTTCAGCTTCAAAAACTTCCAAACACGCTTCATTTTTCTTAAATTCCTAATATCGTAAATATACGATATAACCCAAAAGTGAAGAAAATATCACAACAATTTAATTTTGCTTCCAAAAACCAAATTCCTTCACTATGAAACTATTGATTTTTGTTTAAATAACATTCTTTTGGGTTTTTGGATTTTTTTAATTTTATAAAATTTACGATATTGCAATTATAGTCAAAACTATAGAAAAATTTAACATTTTATGGATCTTAAAGCAAAGTTAAACATTTACCATATTCAAAAACCTTTAAAAATCTTTAATTTAAATGAAATTTCAAATATCGTAAATTTACGATATATAACCCCAAATTGAAGAAAACTTCTCCAAATCGAAATTTATGTTTGCAAAAACCAAATTCCATCACTTTCAAACTATTTATTATGTTTCAAATAACTTTCTTTAGGTTTTTTGAATTTTTAATTTTATAAAATTTACGATATTGTAATTATAGGTAAATATGTTAAAGTATTTAACGTTTTATGAACCTTAAAGCAAATAAAATCGTTTTCCAGCTTCAAAAACTTTTAAAAACGCCTAATTTTTATGAAATTCGCAATATCGTAAATTTACGATATTACCCCAAAGTGCTGAAAACATCGGCCAAATGAAATTTTTCCTCTATAAGATCATAAATAATCAATTTAAAACCACTTTTCATCAAAATTTCTAATATCGTAAATTTACGATATTACCCAAAAGGGCAGAAAACATCGCCACAATCAAATTTTTGCTCTAGAAGATCATAAATAATAAATTTAGAATCATTTTTCACCAAAATTTCTAATATCGTAAATTTACGATATTAGTTTTTTTTTATATCAAAATGTTTAATTTTCATAAAGAAAGTTTTTTCTATTCTATTAAAGAGAAATTTTCTAATTGTTGTTGTTTTTTTGCTATTAATATCGGTGTAATTTATTGTTATTGGAATTATTGTTCTTGTTGTTGTATTTTCTCACTTATCTGAACATTTCCTCCTATTTCAATTGAGGTTTCTTTCAATAGCCACAATTTGTGGTTAAAGAAAAAGTTGCTTACGGTTTCTGGTTTGCTTTAGTCGGTCGTCATAGTCATAATTGTGTTAATGTTTATTGTCGTTTGACCTGAGTGGCGGGAGGGAGGCGGGGTTAGATGGGTAGAGGAGAAATGTTATTAATTTAAATAAGTGTTGGATTAAATGAGTGTTTCCTGTTGATGGAGGGTTAGATAGAGTAGGAGAGGATTGTTTAGTTTTTCTTTTATGGGAAAAAGTTACGAAAATCTACAAAGCAGGACAGAAAAGACTCTGAGGATCCCAGAAAAATATATGAAAAAAACACGCCTAAAGCTGCAGCCTAAAAAATATTTTTAAAAAATCCACGCCTTGGAGTGGACCCTAGAAAAATATTTTAAAAAAATCTTCGCCACATTTCTTCTTGTAACCATCTCATCTTCTCCTGCCCTGCAGCCATGAAAAAATAAACATCATCGTAAAATTCCCCTCCGAACAAGTGTCAAAGTAATATCTTTTCATGCTGCAACTTTCTTGCAACAAGTTGTTAGGATGCAGGTTTTACCGCTGTTTTTTATTTTTTGGTATCTCTTCCTCTGTCGTTAAAACAACAACTTGTTGTTTTCGTTGTTGTTGCTGTCGATTTGTTATTTTGAAGGCTACCTTGTGCAGTCAGAGTGCAGTTTGGCAGACCACGACAGCATTCCAGAAACATCAAAGCTAAAAACAGTTATTTTTTACCACAACAAAAATATTTGGATTTTTTTGGTTGGTTGGTACCGGTTCCAAAGTCATCCTGACTTCCTCTCCCCTCTTTGGTGCAACAATTTGCGTTTTTTGAAGAAAACAACTTTTACATTTCTGTTTCCAAAGTAGAAATCACGGAAAATCTCTTTTTCTGTCGGTTAGGCCACTAAATGATAGACATCCCAACAGCCAGCCTGCCATCCAAACCAGGTCTTATTTGGAGACCTGTGTGTGTTCGGTGGAGTACCTGTGGTGTAAGTAGTAGGTGGCGAAGCAGGTTTGTCATCAGTAAAAAACGACAAATGGCTTTAATTGTTGCTTAGTTTGTTGTGCGGCTGGATGTTGATGTTAATTTAAATTTATTGGCCAACATGATTAGCTTTGATTAGTTGTGCCTCCCTAGCCGGCTATTTGTTTCGGTCCATAAGCAGGAAAACAGGAAAAAATCTTCAGCGGATTTTTTTTGTTGAGATTGAGACAGGTTGTCTTGTTTGGATTGGAAGGTATTTTGAAAAACAAATATCGTAAATTAGGAAAATTATATGATAAGGAAGTTGCAGATTTTCGGAATTTAAATAGTTGAAAGCTCTTCCAAGGGGTCTACGAGGTGTGAATACCCTCTAATGATATTAAAAATATAGAAAAAGATAATGATCCATAACCATACTTATCTCAGTGATCCTTTAATCTATTAAACAAACCTGCACGGACCTCTACTTTTTAAAAAAATCCGCTACCTTAGATGACTACATATTCTACAAAACCCTATAAAGACCCTCCTAAAATATTTTGTAAGGTACAGAAACAAAGGGTCAGGCGCGAAAGCAAATAATACTTAATAAGCCAGTATACTCGGACGGATAATGGACTCGATATAAGGTCATGATGCGGAATTCAATACCTTGGGGATTTTCTGATTTTCAATATTTAAAATGCCGTCTAAGAGCATTCTTAAACAGTAAGCAAATATGTATATAAGGACATCTGAGTTTAGAAAAAAATCTGACATAAAATTCGTGACCTTAAAATTCTGATATAAAAAAACCGAATATTTCTTAAAATGCATGACCTTAAGGATCCGATTTAAGAGTTCTAAAAAATGCCAAATATTTTCAAGGTTATATAAACTTCTATTTAGAAGTCAGGAGGTTTAAAAAAACCATACGTGGCCGAAGTTAGGGATATTTGGAGTTCTAATATATGAAACATTAAGGCTACACAGATCTTTGGTCATAAAAATCCCAGGGTCATTTAATGACATTCAGAAAATTCTGCAGAAAACAAATGTTCAACCTCATATGTCTGCAAATTCTACAAAATCTCCCTAATGGAAGACCGGAGCCTCATGGACATATTTTTTTATTAAATACCGGAGTCGAAAAACACGCATCTTTAAAAATATTCTTAACCAGTAAGCAAAAGAAATATAATCGGACGTTGGCCGATCAGATGATACTCTTCCACTGCAAGTTGACATTCTGCAGAGTTGCGACCTCTGGAAGCGAATAGAACAAACAGATACAAAATAAAGTGTTCATAAAATTAGGATCCGAGTCCCTTTTATTTGCTTCTGATGAAAGACGACTACGTGCTTATTGGCTCATAATTGTGATCTCTAGAGATATCAAAAAAATAAGAAAAAAAAATTAAGTTTTTTGTTCTCAAAGCATCGGAAACCTCTGGAGGGAGTCTGGAGGTTTCAAATGTACAATTTTCTCTAAACACATACCATTTTCTCTGAAGGATCGATAAAGAAAAATGTATGACTGTCAGCATCCTCATTTTAATTAATCTTAAAAGTGCAGAATCCGCTCTACGGCTTGTAGAATTAAGAAGACACACAAACAAATTCTTAATAATCCATAAACATTAGAAGTCGACGTAAACGCATTGGAAAACCCCGATGGAATGGAATATTTTCTGTTAATGTCAGGAATCGATAAAAAAATATGCGGTCCTCAAGAAGGAACCTTTCGGATTGGCTTTTAAAAATCTAGAATCAAACTAAAATGATTCTTAAAAATTTTCAGATCTCAGAAAAGGTCTAAGGTGGCCTTAAAATATTTGCGAAGCTCCAAAAAAAGCTTTAAGGGCCCTTTAACAAATTTTTACAGGCTTGCACGAAGATACAAATATTCTAAAATGTTCATATTAATTTTATGAACTATTTAGAAACATTTCGGAACTCCAGAATCAAACGAAAATAGTTCTTAAAAATTACAGATCTACATTGAGTACTTATGTGGCCTTACTATTTTGCAAACTTTTGGAACTCTTTAGCAACCTTCTGCGGAACAAAAAAAGTTCGAAAATAATAACAGAATTATGAAACAATTTCTAAAATTCAGGAAATTGTTCTCAAAATTTTGGACATTTTGAGGAAGCCTAGAATCTCTCAACAAATATATTTTTATGTCAAGGAATCCGTACAAAATTATTCTCAAAAGCCCACAAAACGCTGGAGAGGTCTTGAATCCTCTTACAAATATTTTGAAAGAGTTTACGATAACTTGGGGAGAACTGGCCTCTATTATGGTCTGACATATTATTTTAAGTATCCACAAGCCTCCACAAACCCGCTCAGGCCTCTATAATGGTCCGAAGTTAATGAAAAGCATTATTTTAAGTATCCACAAGTCTCTATACTCCACAAATTTATGAAGCTCTAAATATATTTTCAAAAATTTCTCAGGCCTCTATAATGGTCCGAAGTTAATGAAAAAAATATTTTCTGTATCAACAAGCCTCAATACTCCCCTCTAAAACCTATTTTTTAAAAATCTAAGAACTCCTACATGAATTTTAAAATTAATTTTCTTATTTTCACCTCTCTCCCTCTCTTTACAGTTACTGCCATCTAGCGACGTGAAGCTGAAACGATACTCAAAACCGCTGTTACCATAGTTCCGCACCTTCTATATGCATCAACTGACAAATATACACCATGGCTGATTATGTTACAGTGGTTGAGGTGGATGATCCGCAATCATCTAAAGACACAAACCCATTGTTGGGAAATTCAACACAACCTGCAACGGCATTACCGGCCGATGATTCTTCGTTTATAACTGTGCTATCGATCAACAACAATACTAACACGAATAGCAGCAACAACACACCACACCAACAATTGACCACGAACACCAGCACCACCACCTCTACAAATAATCATAAAAATTCTTGTAGTTCAGACCCCAACCCCCTAGCGGCGGATGACACCGAAGAGGTAACCGTCTATCGTTTGGTTGGCGAACGCTTGGGTTTCGGTCTCAAATTTCAAGGTGGCACCCGCAGTGCGGAAAAAGTACAAAAACTATTTATACAATCATGTGCCAAGGATAGTCCCGCATCGAAGGTGGTGACTTCGTGGGGCCAGCTAAAAGAGGGTGATGAAATCGTAAAAATCGATGAACACTTGGTGCGGGATATGACCCGAATTGAATGTGTGAAATGTCTCAAGGATAATGTGGCCATAAAGCTGGTGGTTCGCAATGGTAAGGGTTTGATACCGGAAGATTTGGAAGAGAAGGGGGCGATGGGGGATCAACATCATCAAAATAATGGGGTTCTTGGTTCGGGAGTGAGTAATGGTCAAATGAAGGGGGCACCACCACCACCGCCACCAGTGCCGCCAAGGAAATTGGTGAAGAAGCAAAGGTCCTTTAAGGATGCCGAGAAGGTGGAGGTGTCACAGGTCAAACAGGAGGTTGTGGAAATGTCAGCAGAGAGGTCCTTTACACCACCACCCGATGCGGAATATTATATCAATTTGTTTGCCGAGAATAATGGTACAAATGGTTCGTTGCTGAGGAACCCCTCCAGGAATGGTGAATCGGAATCGGATGATACGGCAAGTACCATATCCACGGTGATCGATCGTTATTCCATGACTTCGAATTATTCATCGGAATCGGATTTGTCGGGTTTCACATCTTTGAATAATGGCCAGACCGGAGTTGCTGGAGTAGTGAAGCCGGAATTGGCCAAGGTTTTGAAACCGTTTGCGTTATTGGAACAGGAATTTAGGGTAGAGGGAGCCTTGGAAAATCCTCTAATTTCGGAGGTAATCGAAGTGAATCTGATACCCGGAAATAATTATGAAAATGTGGAGTTTAAGACGGAGAAAATCAACAACTATGAAAATGTGGAATTGAAGGCCAAGGTGGGGACTGAGGTGCAGGCCGAGGTACCCAAGGATGAGGTGGACAAAAGTGTGGCTCCCCCAAAGGAAGAACTTGTGGTAGAAACCAAACAACAATCTCCCATACCCACTCCCAAACCCAGGCAACAGGTAGCCACATCCCCCGTGGAACCCAAGAAGCGATCCATCATTCCTATGCCCCGCAAATTGAGTATCAATGGCAAACAGGCCATTGAGGTACCACCCCCGAAAATTCCCGAGGATGCTTTGAGGAAAGGTAATGGAGAGCAACAAAATCCTAACAAAACCCCCACAAGTCCCGCTGCCGGAAAACCTGCACCTGAGTCACCACCCACCAAAGAATTTACCACAAAAATTCCCAAGGCCATACATTCGCCCAGCAGTCAATACAGGTCCCTGGAAAGGGCCAAAACGGAATCGGAAATAAAATTGAAGCAGGAAATCTCGAAGCAGGACAAGCTAAAGCAACAGACCACGGACTTTTTGGCCCACGAAGCCAGCTCAAATGGTCCATCGAAAACCAATAAAACCCCCTCTCCTGTAAAATCCAGAATTCCCATTGTCCTGACGCCCAAGCGATCCTTGGATTTGGAATCCGCCACCCCAGAAAAGAAATCCACCCTGCAGAAGTCACCCACCAACATACCCCGCCTATTGACAAAGCAAAAATCTGAAACCGATTTGAAGCTGAATTATTGCCGCTCCAAGGAGTCGAGTCCCACAATGACCAGCAAAAAAATTCCCCTGCAAAGGACCATTTCGGCTGATTCGAAAATTAAAATGCCCGAAAGGACCCTGATACCGGTACTTCACCCGAGCAACACTTCCAATGGTACCTCTTCCACGGAAAGTTTGAATTCCAATTCAACCACAACTTCGGGAGGAAAATCGGCAAGAGGACCCAAGCCCAAACCGCCAGAGAGGGTGCAATCCCTCAACAAGACTCAAATCCCCAAAGCAAATGCGATCGGCAACAGTAACAACAACAATGTGACCACAGTAGCTGTGGTGGATCGATCCTCCACAAATTCCCTGGCCAGTCCCCAGACCTCTCCCCTGCCAGCCATGCAGACTTTCAAGCAGCCCTCACCACCCAAGCAGCAGGAGAAGCCGCTAACACCACCCTCTCCCAATCGGGAGATACGTTTTAAAATACAAACCTACACCTCCACCAATAACAACAACCCGCATAACAACACTACCTTCCAGGAGCCGGAAGAGCTACCCAGCCTCTTTGAGCTGCAGAGGCGTAACAGTCCCGATGCCACACGGAAATCTGAAGAGTTCTCCACCTTTAAGGCCACCAGCTCTCCAACCGTGACCACCCCCACCACCACTACCCCGAAAATGGAAACCAAACCAGAACTCGAAGATGAATTGGATCGCATTACACCCCCACCCCTAGTGGTGGGTAAATGCATGAAGGTCGATGATACCGCTCCCATGTACTATTCCTCATCGAGCAGTGACGACGAGGAGGAAAATGAAACCGATCTCAGTGGGGTCTACGGGGATGACGATGATGATAAGGATTATATCTGTGAAGATGGTGAGAAATTGGGTCCCCCAGAGTTAATTAATGGTCCTGGTCCTTCGGAGGCCTATTTTAATTTGTATTGGCATTCGAATATGCTACCCACAATTGGTGAGGTCGAAGAGGAATGTTCATCGCTCGAGCTGCAATCGATGAATGCAAATGGGTGAGTAGAAAAAATTTCAAAAATTGTTTTTCCGAACTTCGTAGATGAAATTTAGCTTGGATATGCGGGAATATAATATTTGAACACTTTCGTGAAGCTTTAAAATTGGACCCAAGAAAAAATTTAATCATACAGAGAAGAGCTTCGGGTATGACCATATTCAAATTCTAGTAGAGGTTATGAGGTCCTCTAGAAATATTCTCAAAATTTTATTTGTGTCCCGAAGTGTATTATCCTGTATCTGCAGATATTTCCAAAAACCTTTGTTCAGGTTAGAAATCCTCCGAACTTTTTTTTATCGAAACTCCAATATCCTCTGCATTTTATCTGCATCTGCATTTTATTCCCGAACTCTCGTAAGAAATATTTTGCAGCATCTATTCACATACCTCCGTTCAGTTTAGTAGTCCTAAGAATTTTTTTTGAAACTCTAATTGCCCCTCTCTAGAAATTTCTACCTAAATCCCACCCAGAAAATACTCTATAAACCCTAAAAATCGCTATTTGGGTTAGATGCCCTTAGGAAAATTTTTTCTCGAAACTCCAAAGACCACCTTATAGGTACTCAACAAAAATCTTACACAGAAAATACTCCGCAACCCCTAAGAATTCTCCTGGACCACCGCTGTTCAGGTTAGAAGTCCTCAGAAAAGATTTTTTTTCGGAACTACAAAGGCTCCTCTCGTTTAATCTCAAACAAATATCTCTCCTAGAAAATATTCTTCAATCTCTACAACCCCACTGGACAACCTCAGTTCTGTTTTCTAAAATTACAAAGCCCTCCCTATGGGAATCACTACAAAAATACCATCCAAAAAATAACCTGCTAGCTCTAAGAACCCTTCTGGACTTCCAGTGACTATATAATATTTTCAATTGCTCGCTCATATACCTCATATACTCGACCTTCATAGGCTTATACTCGAGTTCCACCCTCTGTTCAGGTTAGAAGTCCACAGATTTTTTTTTGGAAACTCCAAAGACCTCCCTATGAGAATCGTTACAAAAAATACCACCCAGAAAATGCAACTCCCAATAATCCTTCTGGACCTCCAAAGGCCTATACAAAATTTTTAATGGCCTCAAATACCCCCCGGAACTCCAGAGGTTTACACAGTTTTATTGAAGTCTATAGGTCTATAGAAAGGTCCAGGGGACCTCTAGAGGCCTTTACAGTTTTGTTTAGATATTTTCAAGGCCTCAAAAATCTACAAAATGTGCATGGATCTCCGATACAAAATCTTAGGACTTCGAGGACCTATAAAATTGCATAGAACATTTTTCTTTAGCTTCATAGGACTTCGAGATCTGAAACATTACATAGAGAAGCTTCCTTTGGGTTTCGGCGCGAAGCCTACGTGGCCTATAAAATTATAGAGAGGCGAAATCGTAAGAATTCTAGGGATGCAAAAAAAAATTAGAATCATATTTTTGGCTATTAATTCTATAGAGCAATTTTTATGGATTTCTGATACGAAATTTTAGGACTTTGAGGCCTATAAAATTTTATAGAACATTTTTCTTTGGCTTTCGAGGTTAAATTATAGGATTTCGAGGCCTGAAACATTATATAGTTCAGCTTCCTTTGTGTTCTAACGCGAATTCATAGGACTTCGTGGCCTATAAAATTGTACAGAGGCGATTTAGTAAGACTTCGAGGGCTATACAATTTTATAGAGCAAATATATTTGGCCTCCAAGACGAAGTTGTGCGACTTCAAGTTCTATTAATTATATAGAAAAACATTTTATTGACCTCGGATACGAAATCTTAGGACTTTAAAATTGTATAGAGCAGCTTCCTTTGGATTCCGACGCGAAGGCATAGGACTTCGAGGCTTATAAAACATGTAGAAACAATTTTTTGGTCCTTTGACCTATAAAATTGTATAGATCAGCTTCCTTTGGCTTCCGACGCCAAGACATAGGACTTCGTGGCTTACGAAACATGTAGAACATTTTTTTGGTCCTTCGAGGTGATATCATAGGACTTCGAGGTCTATTAAAGGCCTACTATAGTGTATAGAATAGATTTTTTTCTCCTACGAGGCCTTATTATTGGACTTCGAGGCCTATAATATCTCCACAAAAATCCTGATACGAATGTATTCTCTTAACCCTACGAACACCCACTCGAATAATACCTTATAAAATAGATAGATTAGTCCATATACCTCCCTCTTCCTCGCCCACCGAATCATATCCATTCCCATCTCTCAGCAACAACAAAAACGTATTCATTTGTCCACACTTCAATAATTTCCATACTTATCAGCCACTTGAAACATTTTATTTATTTATTTTTTTTGTGAGAACGCCAAAATTGCAGTTTTTGAAATTACGACCTTTATCTGCCCCGAGCAGTTAATTTTGGCGGAATCTATTATGTTTTATTTTTTATGAGTAATTCTCGCAAATTGGTGGAGAAACAAAAAATCCGCCGAAAAAAAATCATCAACATTTTTGTGTTACAAATCAAAGTGTTAATGCAATAACACCGCCTCCACCGATATCTTCCCCCACTATGCGTTTCACTTTTGTTGATAAGAAAATTCCCCCATATCTCTGGGGTAGATAAGGTCCAACATATGACAACCGGCATTGATAAAGTGTTACAATAACAACAAAAATTATGAAATGAAATTAAGTGAAGAGAGTGAGAGAGAGAATTAATGTTTGGCATTAATGAATGTTTTGATGAATATTCTAATGGGGTGGAGAACGTATGTAGGTTAGTATAGGGTAAGGTAGACATGAGAGGAGAGCTATGTTTTTTTATATTTTCCATGGGGCTTCGAAGTCTATGATTTGTTTATAAGTTGCCAGAGGTCAGTAAAATTTTCCATAATCCTCCAGAGACCTTTACAGTTTTATAGAAAACTTTTCATACGCATCCTCCAGATGCCTGTAAACCTGAATTCTCAAAAACCTCCGCATTGTTCGTAAGCCTCCGAAATTCATAACCTTTTACCCCCAGTTCTTTTTATGTCTCTAAAGCCTTATACAATTCTCCCTGACCATCCAGAGGTCAGTAAAATAATACCGATTCCATAAAAATTATAAAATACATTTTGGACTTCAGTGCGTATGATTGTTTTTAATAGGGTAGACCTTCACGAAAATGCCCATAACTTTGACAGTTTTGAAAATATTTTCGATATTTTTTCAGATATTGAAAGCTAAGAATATGCTTCTTATTTACGCACAAAGAGTTCAATATGATTCTTTTACTATTAAGGAAGATATATGGCAGTTTTCCTGAATAATTTCAACACAGACGATTTGATGAGCTTCTTGAGGGGTTAATGGACCCATTGAAATATTTTTATAATAAATTATAGTAGTCCCTCTATTGGGAGACACAAAAATTATAGCTTGGAATTTATTAATTTGCACAAAAATAAAATACAAACATTTTTGGGCATGGGTGCGTATGATTGCTATTCATAGAATAGACCTATATAAGAAATATAATCATAGTCCCCTAACGTTTCTAATATTTGATAAAAACAAATATTCTTAGGTTTATGAAGTTCTTTTTAGGTCTCTAAAGGCCTATACAATTCTCCCTGGCCATCCAGAGATCAGTAAAATAATATAGTTTCCATAAAAATTATAAAATACATATTTTGGACCTCAGTGCGTATGATTGTTTTTAATAGGGTAGACCTTCACGAAAATGCCCATAACTTTGGTGGTTTTGAAAATATTTTCGATATTTTTTCGGATATTGAAAGCTAAGAATATGCTTCTTATTTCAGTATAAAGAGTTCAATATGATTCTTTTACGTTTAAGGAAGATATCTTGCAGTTTTCCTGAACAATTTCATCACAGACGATATGAAGAGCTTCTTGGGGGATAAATGGACCCATTGAAATATTTTTATAATAGATTTCAGTTGTCCCTATACTGGGAGACATAAAAATTACAGTTTGGAATTTATTAATTTGCACAAAAATAAAAAAAAACATTTCTTGGACATGGGTGCGTATGATTGCTATTAATAGAATAGACTCTAGGCCCCTAACCTTTCTAATATTTTACAAAAACGAAGATTCCTAGGCTTCTGGAGTTCTTTTTAGGTCTCTTAAGGCCTATACAATTCTCCCTGATCATCCAGAGGTCAGTAAAATAATAAAGTTTCCATAAAAAATTATAAATTGCATTTTGGACCTCAGTGCGTATGATTGTTTTTAATAGATTAGACTTTCACGAAAATGCCCATAACTTTGGTAATTTTGAAAATATTTTCGATATTTTTTCGGATATTGAAAGCAAAGAATATGCTTGTTATTCAACTTCAAAGAGTTCAATATGTTTCTTTTACTATTAAGGAAGATATATGGCAGTTTTCCTGAATAATTTCAACACAGACGATTTGATGAGCTTCTTGGGGGAAATGCATCCATTGAAATATGATATGATGAGCTTCTTGGGGGGTAAATAGACCCATTGAAATATTTTATAATAGATTTCAGTAGTCCCTCTATTGGTAGACATAAAAATTATAGCTTGGAATTCATAATTTTGCATAAACATGATAAAAACGTTTTTTGGACATGGGTGCGTATGATTGCTATTAATAGAATAGACCTTAACGAAAATGCTCATAACTCGGGTAGTTTTGAAGATATTTAAATACAGTTTATTAAAGGAAACAGCGTTTTCTAAAATGTTTAGGGGAAATTTTCTCTAGGCCTACAGAGAAAATAAATATTTTTTGTAGCTCTCGAAAGCTCTGTTTAAGTTTTTTTTTTAGATTTATAAGGCCTCCGGTGGTGGATTCACTTCACTTAGACCTTCAGAGGACCCTCAAAATGTGTATAAATATTTGTATAGGGCTCCAGAAGCTCTTAAAGTCCTACTTTTATTTTTCTTAGGTATCAGCAGGTTTATTCGATTTAATAGAATTTTCTAAAATGTTTAGGGGAAATTTTCTCTGGGTCTCCAGAGAAAATACATATTTTTTGTAGCTCTCAGAAGCCTTATTTTAGATTTATAGGGCCTCTGGTGGTCTATTCACTTCACTTAGACCTCCAGGGGGCCCTCAAACTGTGGGTAACTATTTTGTATATGTCTCCAGAAGCTCTTATAGACCCACTTTTATTTTTCTTAGGTATCAGGAGGTTTATTCGATTTCATAGCATTTTTTTCTAGATCTCACAGGTTCATGTAGGGCCCTTCCGCTTGTCTCCTATGCCGACCTATTTTTGTTTTTAATTATTTCCACCTGATTTGTTTGTTGTGAAACGAGCGGGAAAGTAAACAGACTAACAAACAAAAATAATAATGAGAAATCATCGTCAGCACGACGGTGATGATAACGAGCTGGTGCAGCAGACCCATATACAGGTGATCGCCGCCTACCTTTGCCTTCTTATCAGCCAGTCAGCCAGGCCAAAAAGAAAAACTGCTTTGCTAAACTTAGTAAAAATTGAAATGGAAATTTTAGTAGAGAATTCCGTACGAAAAGGTTAAGGTTACGCTACCGATCGAATGAAAAAACAATAGAGAAATAGATTAAAAAATCGGAAAGAGATTAAAAAAAGTAAGAGTGACCTAGATCAAGATAGCCCACGACCATTACAAGCTAAATTTTGTTGGGTGAGGGGTAAACAAAAATTTTCGATTAGCGGAATATTCTTAAGATTACTAATTTTCATGTTTTGGTTACCTCTTGCTTTCAGACCCATTGTTATCGTTGATGATCTGAGCCAGCAGAAGCCTAGTGGAGCTCTAAAGTCTGTTGAAACGGAAGAAAAACGAGAACCAGAACCAAAATCAACTACCACAAAAGGAAATCTCAAGAAACCCAACTTCATTGGGGTACCCGTACTACCACCTACCGTGCCGAACTTTGAGGATTTGAAATCCGTAAAGAAATCTACGAAAGAAACGAACGAAGAAACGAAAATAGCGGCCGCCGACATGAATGCTGAACCTGAAGAGAATTGCAATAATTTGCAAAATAACGATGATAAGATAATAGGAAATGCCGAACCCATTGACGATATACAAACTAAGAAGGTGGAGGATGAAGAGGAAGTAGACAAGGTTATGGAAAAATCGGATTCCAAAAATGAACACAATTTTGTGGAGGTTAGTAAAAGTTCCAGCAAAGAAGTGTCGGAAGATAATGGACGCACCTCCGAAACCTCCAAGGAGGTAAAGACGGAACATCAAGAGACCACCACTAAGACGGGAACAGAAACCATGACCACCACAACAACCACGAAGAAGATAATCAAATCTTCCACGACCACCAGTTCTTCACAGATCATAAGTGGCAGTACCACACACACAGGGGATTTCAAGACCCTGGATGGTCTGCCAGAGGAATTTACGAAAGTTGTAACAGATCCACAAAATCTCCCCGAAGAGTTCAAGAAGTTATTGAACTCCTCCTCGCCCAAATCTCCCAGAGATGGGGCGGACAACAAACCCCTATTCACCCTGCAACCCTACAATGAACGTAAGGGCAACACTAAAATCACCGTCTTGGAGGAACGCCAATTCGAATCCAATCAAAAAGCCTATTCGGAAATACGCACAAAGGACGCGCTGACCGGAGAGGAGAAGGTACAAAAATCCAGTGAAACTCATCGTGAAAAGGCCAAACTGAAAAAGGTTCAGAGCCAGGATAGCCTTGATGATGGCAGCTTTGGAGCCTCCAGCGAACAGGAACCGTTAACTGTTACCGCTAAAGCGGAAACACGATTAGCGGAGGAGGCCCATAATCCACAGGATAATCAAAGTATTGCTCGTGGTATTTTGAAATTATCGGAGTGTGGTAAACAAGTGCAAACGAACGCCCTGGGTGGGGTAGATCTAATGGAATGCGAACATCAGGTAATGGAGACATTTGAGGATTCCGAACAGATCCTAAAACCCCAAGGAGAAAAGAGTGGGGAATCTTCTGAAAAACCTTCCCTGCTAAGGGAGATAAGTGAAACCCTGACGGTGAGTAAAAATGGTGATACCCAGGTCACCAAACACAATGAAATCACGCTGGAAGAAGCCAAGCCGGAGATATTTGCCAATTCGCGGGAAGAAGTTTCAACTTCGGAATCTTCCGAGGACCACAAATTACTTGAAAATGAATCCCAACGTTTGGTGGGAAATGTCCTCAGAGATGCTGAAAAACAGGCCTTGAAACGTGCGGAAACTCCCGCCAAGAAAGGTCCCAAACTTCTCAAGAAATCCGAGGAGGAGAAACGCCTCGAAATGGAGGCTCAAAAACTCATCGAAAGCTATCAAAAGGTACGCAAGGAGGCTGAGAAGCTATTTCAGTTTGATAACTTCCGTCATAACGATGATGATCAGGGTTTCGATTTAAGCGGTCTGGAAGTGGAGGAAAAGGAAGAAGAAAATATCGCCGAACCTCAAAATGAAAGTGTGGGAGAGAATTTGGAGGCTACAAAAGAGGTTTCAGAGCAAAAGAAGCCAAGCGAAGTGGTTGAAAAGAAATCTGCAGCACCTGAAGAGACCTCATCGAAGGTGGAAGTAAAGAAATCTGCATTGGAAGTCAAGAATCCGGAGGCAGAAGTTAAGAAATCTGCAGTAGATGAAGGTAAACAATTGGAATCGATAAAATCTCCACAAGAAGTGATTACCTCGGGTGCAGAAGTAAAGGCATCTGAAGAAATTGAGGCACCTAAAGTGAATGCCACGAGTCCTGAACCAAAACTGGAAGCTAAGACCTCAGAACCTGAAGTAAAGGCAGCTAAAGCAGAGGAAGGAATCAAATCAGAATCAGTGAAATCTCCACAAGAAGTGCTTCCATCACATCCAAAAGTAATGACATCTGAAGTAAAGTCGGAATCTAAAGTGAAGTCTAAGAATTCGGAACCAGAAGTAAAGAAACCCAAGGCGGAGGAAGTTTTCAAATCGGAATCGATTAAATCACAAAAAGAAGTGAATCCTTCGGGTGTAAATGTAATGACTTCTGAGGTAGAAGTAAGGACTTCCGAAGTAGAGGTAATGACATCTCAACCACACGAAAATAGATCCGAAACCGAACAAAAGAATAAAGCTGAGGGAGAGGAGCATAAACCCGTATCGGAACATGTGAAATCGAAATCAGAATTCATGAAAACGGAAGTAGAAGTGATGAAATCGGTAGGAGAAGTGATGAAATCGGAAGGAAAAGTGGTGAATCCTGAACCCAAACTAATGACCACTGAAGTAAGGAGAATCGAACCCGAAGAAAAGAAATCGGAAGCGAAAATATTCGAACCGGAAGTGAAGAAAAATGTTTCGGAAGAAAATAAATCACCAGCGGAACCAATGAAAACTGAAGAGGAAGTGATGAAAAAGGAGCCCAAAGTAGGCACTTCTAAGGTAATGAAACCTCAAATCGAAGTTATTACATCCGCAGAAGAAGTGATGAAACCTGAATTGGAAACTACAAAATCTGAAGTAAGAAAATCTGTCCAGGAGAAAATAGCTGAGGTAGAAGTGAAAAATGCGGTCTTAAAGTCATCCGAACCTACGAAGAAAGAGAAGCAATTGTCCGAACCAAAATTCTCTAAGGAGAAAGAGAAGGAAATTGCCACGAAATCGGTTAAACCGGACAGCTTTCCCGCTCCTCTCACACGAGAAGAACCCCAGATTGCCACAAAACCTGAAACCAAACCCCTTGAACCCTCCACCTCAGCCAGTGAAATTCTCAGCTCTCCTATCATAATTTCCCCCTCAGCTTCCGATGACGTTCTCCATGAAGAAACTGAATATGTGCTGCACAAAAATATCATCAAGGAGGAGGGTAAAGTAATGGAAATTATTGAAATCGAAGAGAAGAAAAAATCTCCAAAATCCGCACACAAAGAAACATCTACAAAGACCATTAAAATATCTCCGAAATCTTCACCGCGAGCCTCACCAAAACTCAAACGCAGTGAAAAGACCAAAACGAAAGCGGAAGGACAAGAGGACACCACCACCTCACTGAAAGTGAAACCAAAACCCACACCGAAACCCAAGCCTCCCATACCGCAAAGGAGGAATAGTACCGATGCTAATGCCATAAAACCCATACCCAAGCGGAGAGGTTCACTTGAGACAACGGCCTCCATAGTACTACCACCCAAGGAAGTTAATCTTGAAACTACCACAACCTCAACTCCGATAATTGAAATACCCAAACCTGTAGAACCCATCACAATTGAAATCCCCAAACCCATGGAACGTATTATTGTGGGCGTTGAACATCACATCATAATACCCTCAGTGGATTTGAAAAAAGATTTACCTCCCCAGCCCCCGGTCATAACCTTAGCCAGCGATAAATTACCCTCTGTGGTGGAGAAACAACAATCGTTTGAATCTAAAGTTCCGTTACTAAGTCAAACGGCATCGGGAGATTTATTGGAGACCATCAACTTACCAAATGTCTCGAATGCATCATCTGCGGCCGATATAGCGAAAGAGATTTTGGTATCATCGTCAATGGATTCGGTGCAAAGTGTTGAGGAGAAATTATCGCCAGCGGCGCAAACCGATGAGGAGGAGTTGGAGGAAACGTTGCAAGCTGACGAAGGAGAGGATATAAAAGCCCGTCTAGAGCAAGAGAAGAAAATTGAAGGTAAGTCAGAGGATTCATTTTTTCTTATTTTTTATTGATATATGTATGAAATTATTGAATGTCCACGTTACGAACCTATAACACTTATGAGTAAAGTACTTCCGATGAGATCGTGAAGTGTGAAAAGCCCAAGAGCCGTATCAAGATTTCTTCTCTAGTGTGTAAGTTGTAAATAGTTACTCTCAATAAAGCCACCAGGTAGATCACAAGTGTATCTTTCCCACAATCCACCTTAGATCCGATAGAATTTAGTCACCGACATTTGGAAAGCCTTAGAAATCCTCGACGAATTGTCTATAACATTTTGAGGTTTTAGAAACTCACGAATCTTTTTTTTTATAAAATTTTGTATAGGTCTCAGAGAACTTTCTTAGGGAAATGAGTGTTCAACATTTTAGTTCATTTAAATGAACCCTCCTTATCGTTCAGTTCCTTTGAGTGAATTAGTTCGTTCATCTAGTTTGTAGTTCACTATTTAGCTCATTGATCAATAGGTCACAATTTATCTGGTTCATAGTTCAGAACCTATTTCAATGTAGCGTTCGTTTGTTCCATCCCCTGGTCAAAGTGAACTAGATTGACCTAGTCCATTTGCTCCTCTCAGAGAAACGTTCAATTGAACTGAAAATTTTTAATAGCCACACGACATATTTGTAGGTTTCAGAAAGCCATAGAGAACCACGAAAAAGTTTCAGAAGGTCAATGAATAATTTTCTATAAAATTTTGTAGGCTTCAGAAACCCATAGAAAACCTTTTGTAATAACTTCTACAAAATTTTATAGTCCTACTAAAGATTTTCTATAACAAACAATTATAGAAAAATGTATAGGCCTTAAAGACCATAAAATGTGAATTTTTTCATTAAATATTGCAAGCCTCCGAAAATTTTCGATGATTCAGAGATTTATAAAAAAGGAAGGTTTTAGTAATCAGAGGTCGAGAGAAAAAAAATTATGGAAATGTTTGTAAGGGTCAGGGTCACCCCTATTTCTTTTTTTTTTTCATTTCTGTGAACCCTCGATATAGAAACTGAGCAAGATTTTTCCATAGAGTTTGGAGTTAAAAACCATATGTACATATTTAACCGAAAAAATACACTTCCGGTCAGTAGGTCTACTAAAGAATGTTATTAAAAACAAATTGGAAGAACTGAAAAAACTTACATTCGAGATTAATGATGAAAAAATAAATTCGGAACTGAAGCGGGGTGCACGAAAGTGTAAAATTGTTATAAAGAAAGTGGAGGGGGGCATCAAGCGGGATTATCTGGTCTTCTATTTTCCGAACTTCGCCATGCACCCCAAAAAGTATGATTTTGCATGGGAGGAAACCTACAATGAAGCCGACTATGTAATTAGCCGTTGTAACGAAGCGAGACATGATTTGCCTGGTAAGTCTAAACAAAAAACATCGTCAATTGAAATGGAGTCTTTGAAGAAGTCGTATATGGAGCTCAATCTATGGGAAGATATATTCTTCAAATTAAATAGAATGTTCCAAATATACTTCGATATAAGGAAGGTAGCTGAAGGAAGTAATGGAAACCTTCCAATTTTTTGGTGCCCTCAGTAAGAACTTACTGTGGAGGGAATTTATTTACAGAAGGAAAATATGGTGACAGTCCGCTGGTGCTGGTTAGTAAAAGTTCAGTGATAGAAAGACAACTGGAGAAAACACATGAAGAACTGCAGGTTAGCAAGGTAGGATCTATGGGTCATGGGTCAAAGAAGTCGAAGGTGTAAATGGACACATCGAAGATTCCATAAAATATTGATTGAAACATCAATAAAAAGGAGATATATGGGCATAGGTATTATCGCGGGAAGAAACCGCCTCCTGAGGTATTTTTTTTCTTCTTCATAAAATAATGAAGACCTCTCGGAGCCCTAATGAGGACCTCTCGGAGCCCTTTAATACCGATCGAGTATTCAGACAAGATGACAGAGTGTCGTGTGACCTTTTCAACATCGTGCTGGAAATGGTCATACGAGAGGCAAAGGTGAATAGAAATGGCACTCTGTACACCACCCAACAACACATTTTATTCGTCTACGCCGATGACATCGACATAATGGGTGGAACATTGAGAGCGGTAACAGCGACATTTGAACAAATTGAGAAGGAGTCTGCCAAAGTGGGTCTGGCAGTAAACGGCGAGAAGACCAAGCTGATGTTATCAACGCACAAGACGTCATGTAGACTCGGACCAACTATGAAACATGAGAACTACAGCTTCAAGGTCATACGAGGGGCAAAGGTGAATAGATATGGCACTCTGTACACCAAACAACACTCGTCTACGCCGACGACATCGACATAATGGGTCGAACATTGAGAACGGTAACATACACATTTTTGAAAAAAATTGAGAAGGAGTCTGCCAAAGTGGATCTGGCAGTAAATGGCGAGAAGATCAAGCTGATGGTATCAACGCGCATGACGTACAGTAGACTCGGATCAACTGTGGAACTCGAGAACTACAACTTCGAGGTAGTCAAAGATTTTATATACCTCCCGCCAGACCAAACTCACACTCTACAAGACGCTGATACTACCCGTGTTGTTATATGGATCCGCAGCATGGGTACTTACGCAAGCAGATGAGGCAGCTCTTCGGGTGTTTGCGAGAAAAATTCTCCGAAAGATCTATGGGCCGATCTGCGTTGATGGTGAATATCACCGTCGAATGAACCATGTTGTTGTACCAGCTATTCTCGGACATCGGCATTGTTAGACATATTGAGCTGTAGCGACTACGTTGGCTAGGTCATGTTGTAAGAATGGATGAAGATGCCCCAGCCCAAAAGGCATATAAAAGCGAACCAGCTTATGGTTCACGCAGAAGGGGAAGGCCACGAATAAGATGGAAAGATCAAGTGGAAGAAAGACAACATTGCCGAATATAATCTTTCAAACTGGAAAAACTGCGCAAAAGACCGACGCGTTTTGTCACAAAATGATGAATACATTCGAGGCTTCCTAAAAATGTTGTCTCATATTTTGTGGACTTCAGATGACTCCTGGAAAATATTCACAACATGTTAAAGAACTCTGAGATATCTATAAAATGTAGTTCTAATGAAAAGGGTTCCACAAAAATTTAGGGACTATAGATATACACCCTGGGGAAAAATGCAATATCGTGGGCCTACAAAAAATTACTTAGTATATATGATTTCATATGAGTTCTCCGATACCTACGAACTCCTGCCTTTTTTATTCTGTCCGTATTTTTGTCCATCAAATGGTTGATCCCTTTTTTATATTTTTCTTTTGCCTTTCAATAAAATCGAACTATTTTTAATAATCATGAAATTTTATTGAAATTTTCAAAATTAATGACTACTGTTTTTTTGTTATGTGACTGTAAAGATAAACAATTTGTGACAAAAATAGATAAAAAAGGCAAACAAACTAATTACGATTTTCGATAGACCAAAAACAGAAAAGAGTTTTCAATTAGCCCCCCTCAAAAAAACCAATCAACGGCTGCCATAAAGGGTTGGTTTATTTGAGTTTTATTTATTTTCAAATGACTACCGTTTAGATAAAATTACAACTGGGGAAAAAACGTTTAATTACAGAAAAAATGTAATGGAGGTTGGTGGTATTGGAGGTGGGTGGTATTTGGCGGAAGAAAATAAACCCAAAAACCCAGGGAAGTCAATTCCAAGCAAACAAAGCTAATGAGGAAAATTTTTTTGGGTAACAAAAAATAAAAGAAAAAGGCTAGGTTTAGTATGGAGTATTTGGTGTTGTTGTTTTTGTTATTGTTGTCATTATCCAGCTTGTCATTAGAATTAAGGAGATAAATTTTGAAATCTTACATCGTTGACCTGAATTCTGTGTCATCTTAGCAGATACTTAGAGAAAGAGTTGAGAGAAGAAATATGGTTAGGAGATCGTTGCCTTAGTTAATGGTGGTGGTGTTGGTGATTCTAAAACCCTGACAGTGAAAGGTGTCATGTTGTAGTTTTTATTTTTTGTTTTTGTTCCGCTTAAATAGAAAGCTTAACTTGGCCACAATTAAATGGGCAAATCTCTCTCGAAAAAAATATACTCTAGAGTTTAATTTAATAAAAAAGTAGCAAGATGTTCATTACTTTCAAAAAAAAAAAAAGACATTTTATTTCTTCCAGTGAACTTTTGTCACCTGATCCGCTCAAAACGTTCCCAGTTTTTTTTTTAATTTTTGCTACAGATTTCTGTTGAAGGTTGGCTGTGTTGGCAAACATATGTGTGCTTATAAAGTGGTGTTATCCATTTGGAATGATCCTCTATTTTTTTCATTCTCCAACTCCAACAAAGTGTCAAATTTTTCTTTTAATTCTCCATAAATTCTAGGAAGCGTGAGGGAATGGTGGTGGTATAGAGTCGAACATTTGTGTTTAGCTTTTGCAATTATCTCACTTCTTTGGAAGGAAAAAAAAAAAAAAAAAAAAAAAAAAAAACACAACAAATAGGGCTTTTCGTTTTTGGGCAAGAAATTATTTTTTGGTCATAATTTGAAAATTTTGGAAATTTTTTTGGTCGGAACATAAAATTACTAAAAATTCATAAAAATTAATTTTGAAACGGAACAACTCTATTTTTATTCCTACTTACTTAATTAGCTGGCTTGTTACAGAACGGTTATTCCATAAGCCGAGCTTAAAAAAAAGATTTCCAAGCGCATCGGTCTTGTGCGCAAAACCACCAATTTGAATGACCACGTTCCCAGATGTTGTTTTCTACTTGGTCTTTTCATCTAATTTGTGGTCTTCCCCTTTTATATGCCTTTTGAGTAGGCTCGCTTTTATATGTCTTTTGAGCCACCGTAGTCGCTGCAGCTCAATACGACTGACTATGTCGATGTCCGCGTATAAATTGTAAAGCTCATGGTTCATTCGACGGCGGCGATATTCACCGTCGACGCAGATCGGCCCGTAGATCTTTCGGAGAATTTTTCTTTCAAACACCCCAAGAGCTGCTTCATCTGCTTGCGCAAGTACCCATTCTT